CTGCCTCGGTGGTGCATCCACAAAACACAAAGCAAGGCAGTGAGGGGTCCGGTTCAGAATTTTACACTCTGTGTCCTTCTTTACAGAAAAAAGAACCTCAATGCACACAGAAAATAAAAAATCCCAATTAATTCCTTGCCAGGCCTCAAATACTCTTGAATATTTTATAGAAAGTAGCTAAATTGCGGGTAGATGAGGTACTTCACAGGTGGTGCATCCACAAAACACAAAGCAAGGCAGTGAGGGGTCCGGTTCAGAATTTTACACTCTGTGTCCTTCTTTACAGAAAAAAGAACCTCAATGCACACAGAAAATAAAAAATCCCAATTAATTCCTTGCCAGGCCTCAAATACTCTTGAATATTTTATAGAAAGTAGCTAAATTGCGGGTAGATGAGGTACTTCACAGAATCACAGAATCACTCGGTTGGAAAAGCCCTCTGAGATCACCATGTCCAACCGCTCCTGTCTACCCCCTAAACCATATCCCTAAGTACCTCGTCTACCCGCTCTTTAAACACATCCAGGGATGGTGACTCCACCACCTCCCTGGGCAGCCTGGTCCAGCTTCTGACGACCCTCTCAGGAAAGAACTTCCTCCTTATCTCTGACCTGAACCTCCCTTGGCACAGCTTGGTGCCGTTTCCCCTTGTTCTATCCCCATCACCTGGGAGAAGAGCCCAGCACCCACCTCTCCACAAGCTCCCTTGAGGCAGTTGTAGGTGGTGCTGAGGTCTCCCCTCAGCCTTCTCTTCTCCAGGCTAAACAAGCCCAGTTCCCTCAGCCGCTCCTCATCAGGCTTGTTCTCCAGAGCCCTCCCCATCCTTGTGGCTCTTCTCTGAACACGCTCCAGAATCTCAACATCCTTCTTCTAGTGAGGGGCCCAGAACTGAACACAGCACTTGAGGTGCGGCCTCACCAGTGCCGAGTACAGGGGGATGATCACCTCCCTGGACCTGCTGGTCACACCGTTTTTAATACAGGCCAAGATGCCGTTGGCTTTTCTGGCAATAGCCATTGGCTTTTTCTTAATGATATGGTTTAGTGGGTAGACAGGAACGGTTGGACATGATGATCTCAGAGGGGTTTTCCAACCGAGCGATTCTGTGATTGTGACTCTGTGTAAATAGTGGGACAATTAACAGCACTGTAATTGCAGTAAAGTGGCAACCTGTGCGTGCTATAGAAATCCAATGTTTTCACGCTCTTAGAAGCCCCCTTCTAACACATAAATGAGACCAGGACAGAGCTCACAAAGCTCATTTGGAATTGCTCAGCCAGGG